AATACTACAGGTGGATCTCTGTGAGTTCGAGACCAGCCTGGTCTACAAGAGCTACTTCCAGGACAGGCTCCAAAACCACAGAGAAACCCTGTCTCGAAAAACAAACAAACAAACAAACAAAAAGAATACTACTCAGCGGTAAAAAAACAATGATTTCATGAATTTTGCATGCAAATGGATAGAAATAGAAAACATATCCTGAGTGAGGTATGACCCAAAAAGATGAACATGGGATGTACTCACTCATAATTGGTTTCTAGCCATAAATAAAGGACATTGATTATATAATTTGTGATCCTAGAGAAGCTAAATTAGAAGGTGAACCCAAAGAAAAACATATAGTCATCCGCCTGGATATGGGAAGTAGACAAGATTGACGGGCAAAAACTGGGAACTTGGGGGTGAGGTGGCAGGGGGTTAAGGGAAAATGGGGTGAGAAACGTGAGAAGGGGAGGATGGGGGGAGCTTGGGGGAATGGGATGGTTGGGATAAAGGAAGGGTGGAAAAAGGAGCAGAGAAATATATATCCTAATTAAGGGAGCCATCTTAGAGTTGGCAAGAGACTTGACTCCAGAGAGGCTCGCAGGTGTTCAGGGAGATGTCCCCAGCTAGTACCTTGGGCAACTGAGGAGAGGGAACCTGAAATGACCCTATCCTATAGGCATACTGATGAATATCTTGCATATAACCTTAGAACCTTCATCTGATGATGGATCAAGATAGAGACAGAGACCCAAACTAGAGCACCGGACTGAGCTCTTAAGATCCAAATGAGGAACAGAAGGAGGGAGAACATGAGCAAGGAAGTCAGGACACGAGGGGCGCACTCAAAGCCAATTCTTAACAAGCTAAGATAAAATGAACCAAAACATGCAGCTGTTTACTATTCTAGAAGACTAACAAAACTTACTTGTAGTTTTAATTATACGAAAGATGATATTTAGCATGTCATAAAAGCACCCAATAGAAATTTTATTTTGAAATTTTATTTACTCTGTCAAATCTGGACATTTCTACATTGAAACTTCACCAAACTGTCTGTGTAAAATTTAATAACATAACAAAAATTGATAATTTTGTTTGAATATCAAATATGTCAGTCATAAACCAAATAACCCAGGTATGATGGTGTGTGGTTGTGGTCCCAGTTACTGGGGAAGCTCACATATGGCAATCTGTTGAACTCAGGAGTTTAAGACCAGTCTGAAAAGTGGAGTGATTTCCCCCCTCTCTCTCTGTCTCTCTGTCTCTCTCTCTATCTCTGTCTCTGTCTATTTCTTTCTCCCTCCTGCCCTCTCTTCATGGATCTCACATTCCATCTAAAAGGAACTAACAATAAACACATAAAAATGAAAAACATAATGTCAGTCAGAAGGAGTATGGGGAGAAATAAATCAGGGTGGGAAAATAATGAATACCAGGAAATGTTGGGATAAAGTTAAAATCTGATGCTGTCAAGATTCTTACCCTCAGCTTCCATTTCCACCACAAAGGGTGACTCCAGATTAATTGAAATGATGCTGGAACCTAGTAATAATGGTGTGTGTGTGTGTGTGTGTGTGTGTGTTAATGAAATTGAACACAGGTCTTTAGGCATCTTTATGCATATCAGGCAAGTACTCTAGCATTGAACCTAGTTCTAGCTAGTAATAATGTTAGCTACATAACTTTATACAGAAAATTGAGTTATAGAACATATGGTGCCCCAATTCTCCTTCTGGATGCTTTCAAGGAAAGCTTTGAATAAGTCTCCTCTCATATCTAATAGAGCAGATAGGAGTAGGTCTGAAATCCTGTGGAATTCACTTCTCCTTCTCAAAGACACTTTCCCCCCAAAATGGGCTATATAGGGGAAATCTTCTTGTAGTTCATTCTCTAGAGGAAAGGGTGTGCTTCTAATTGGAAAAAAGGCCATTTAATGATCCTGCAGATATCTTATTTGTCTCAATATTTATATTTACTGTGAGGATAAGATGGCCAGAGTAGCCATTTTCAGAGTGACTTCTTCCTGAAAATTCTACCAACCAACAAATAAACATGATCAAGTAATTGTTAAGGACTCCAGATGTATACTATAGTACCCTTCACAGTGATTATGGAATTAAATGGTTAAACACTAATCCACCTGGTGTCAGTGAGTTCTTATATCTAGTATAAGAGGAATCATTGACTATGCAGGCTATTTTACCCATGGGAAGACATGTAGTTGCTGTGTGGCAAGAAGTTGGGGAGAACCTCTGAGCTTTAGGAACCACTTACAGAAGAGTTAGAAGCTCTAAGCAACCAGCTGTTTGCAGGAGCATTAAACAGTACACATCTCTTCCCAGAATTAATATGTACAAGGAAACTTTGGATAATTGTGTAGTTGAGGAATCCTCAGACTCAAAAAGTACAATACAAATTGAGTTGACAAAAAATGTGAGCAGGAATATAAGAACCTCAGAAAATGTAGAGCAAAACAAAACAAAAAATCCTTTCCAATCCTCAAGCAGCATGTCTCTTAGCATGTCTATCAGAAGGTCTGTACTTCAGTCCCAGGGTATGCTTTTGCTGTTATAAACAAGAATCATATGTCAAATTAACTGCTTGGTGATATCAGTGCATTTGTACAGCACATGTTTCAATCATTTTTGTGACTCCTTTTTCAGAGTCTTAATTGTGAAAGGAGGAAGTCTCTTCCACATTTAACATCAAGATTCTGAAGTTGATGACAGCTGAAATCAAGGGGCAAGCTTTCCTACTAATCCCACTTTGGTTTATTTCTGTCAGCAAGGATGAAATATCTCTGAACCTCTAATAAATATTCCTGTTCGTATTTCTTGTGTGTCCAGTAAAACTGTTAATCTGTGTGCTAACGGGATTACAAAAAGACGAGTCACCACCAAGGGCTGCCCTTGACTCTGAAAACAGGAGTGTTAGTACAAAACAGCAGGACATTCTCTTTAGAGCAGTCAGACCACCATCCTGCTTGCTTTAACAGAGGAAGTTGTGCAACTCCGGAATTTTATCACTGGTGTGGACACCTGCAGGACTTTCATTATGAGTCCACTGACTTAGCCCCACACAATGTGAATGCTGCCAAGTTTTCTGTTCTACTGATCATTTCATGGCTACTTAGGGATGGAGTTCTCAGAAAACTCGGGTTGCTTCATACTCCTTTGGCTGTCCAGTCATAGGTCATGACCCAGCTCATCCAATCTGGCATGCAAAGGACTCACAGGCAAAAGAAGGAAAGCTCAATCTTTCCTTGTTGCTGCCAGGGTTGACAGCACAATGTGAAACAGAAGGATCCTTTAAATTTTTAAATGATAAAAAAGCTTCAATTAATTTTTCATTTTCATTTGCTTACTGCCTTGAATGATATAGACACAAAGCAGATGATTTATCAACAATGAACAAAACCTCAAAGATTGAGATGGGCTAGCTCGGATGTTTTTGCTTGTTTCTGTTTGTTTTGTTATTTTTTTTTTTGTATCTTTGTTTGCTTGTTTTTTGAGACAGTGTATCTATAATTCAGAATGGCCTGGAACTCACTAGCCTTGAACTCTTGTTGAGCCTTTGGTCTCAGCCTCCTGAGTGCTGGGATTATAGGCAGGTGACTGTGTCTGACTAAAGACATTTTGCTTGGGGTTAATCAGGGTCTCACTATGTAGCCTTAAATGACCTGAAACTTGCTGTATAGACTAAGTTGGCCTCAAACTCATTGAGTTCTGCTTTCCTCTGTCTTTGTCTCCTGATTGACGGAATTAGAGGCAGGAGCCACTAATAATTATCCAATGACTAATATATCTTTTTTTTTAAATAATAGAAATGTATCCTTCAGATTTGATTACTTCAAGCTTCAAAAGGGAAACTGTTGAAATACTCTAGGTCTCAACATATCTGACTCCATTTCCCCTTGTTCCTACTCTATGGTGGGGTGAAAGACTGCTAAGTTCGTAAATATTGCTTTGTGCCAGGACCTAGCTTGTAAAAAACTAATTGAGTGATGCACCTCAAGTTTTGAAAAATTTACTGATGCTCCCTATTCCCCATGAAGCAAGAGGGCAGCATGCTACACAGGGACATGCAGGGAAAACCCTGAAGCTGATCCCGAGAAAGGAGCAGAGGTAAAGAGAAACATAGGCCACTGACCTTACTGGCAGTGGAGGGTAAACAGTTTCAGATTGACGAATTTGAAAAAAATAAATAAATAAATAAAACAGTTTGTTTAAGAGAAGTGTCCTTGTGTGTATTATCTGGCCCTGTGCTGAGTTTGGATGGAGAAAACAGTGGCTTGGTGCATGAGAATCAAATAAAACAGGGTTTTGGGAGTACACTGAGAAGTTCTTTACTACCTACTGTGAGTTAACTTGCTGTAAAAAAGCTTTCTCTGGTCAGAAAAGTCTCCCCGCCCCAAATGTTATAGCACCATAAAATATGAAAAACTTTTATAAAACAGAATATACTTTGTATTAGAAGTGACATGCTATGTGGCTGTCTTCTTTATTAGGTCAAGCCTGTTGTATATTACATCCTAAATACTTGAAATAGTGTTAGACATATAATTTGATCAATATTGAAAGAAAAAAATGTAAATTGCCATAATACTCAGATTCCTTGGATGATCACTGTATGGAAAGCTCTGTTGCAGAGTCATATTAATTCTCTTATTTGAATCCTACACAACTGATTAGGTAAATATATTGTTTTTATGGCTATTGTAACAAATTTCCATGCACTTAGTATCTATTGTAACACAAATTTGCTTGTAGTTCCATGTCTGGAACACAGCTCATGGGGATAAAATCAAGATTCAAGGAGACTGTACACTCTCTGGGGTGATACGGTAAAAATTTGTCACTTTGCTTGTGGTCATGGACTCTAACCCTCTGAAAATGTAAGTTAATGAATAAAGATGTTTTGGTCAGTGGCTTAGCAGAGTAAAGCCAGGCAGGAAATCCAAACAGAGATAAAAAAAAGCAAATAGGTAGAGTAAAGCAGACACTATGTAGCTAGCAAAGGAGAAAGATGTCAGAACCTTACCAATAAGTCACAGCTTTGTGGCAATACATAGATTAGTAAAAATTATTTAATTTAAGATTTAAGAATTATTTAATAATAGGCCTGAGCTAATAGGCCAAACATTATTGTAATTAATATAGTTTCTATGTGATTATTCCGGTCTGGGCAGCCATGACACAACATGCAGTCTCCAGTTAAAACACATAGAGGCCTAGAGGTCTCTATAGACAGGAGACAGGAAGTTATATGGATGGGCAGAGAGAGAAAGTGGTAAAGAGGGAGATCAGCCCTTTTCGGTCTGAAGAGTCAGAAAGGTAAGAGGTGGTTATGGCTGTTCCTTTGATTCTTTAATCTTTCACCTTTCACCCTAATATCTGACATTCGGTTTTTATTTTTAAGATTAATTAGTGTCACGCGTCATTGATATATATATATATATATATATATATATATATATCCCACCACACCCATCTGCGCTTTATGTGCTACCATACAGTTCATGAACCGGGCAAAGGACTGGAGACTGAAACTCACAAAGACTCACAGATAGAGACACAGGTCATCCTTGATGCCAAAATGCCCCCTTGATTGTGTCTAGGGGCAGGTTATATAGGGATCCTTAACTGATAGCCATGCCCCAGCCAAACACCAGAAACCACTCCCCTGCCATCAGGGACTCCTAAGAGTATTGTGCTCAGAGCAGCTGCAAGCTGTATCAGAGCAAAGGAAAACAAGTTGTTTACAAGAAATTCAGGATCTGGGAGGTCACAGCTCCCAGCATATGTACATAAAAGTGATATTGTTGAAGTGCATAATAGATATATTTCTAGTTTTTGGAGGAACTGCATACTGTTCTCCACAGTGGCTGTACCGATTTTCTATTCCATTAACAGTTTCTGGGTGTTTTCCATTCCCTATATCTTTGACAGCATTTGTTGGCCAAAGAATGATAGAGAACTTTTAAAATATTTTTTAGTCATTTGTTATTTTTTTCTTCTGAGAACTCTTTATTCAGTTCTACAGCTGTTTTTTTGGGGGGTGTATTTTTGGTGTTTGTTTTTCTAGTTCTTTCCATATTGCAGATACTCATCCTATATCAGATGCAATAATTCCCTGCCCCTATTTAGTAGCCTGCTTCTTCAGTTGATAACAGTTCTTCTTGAAAGACAGAAAATTTTTGATTTCAGCAAGTCCCACTTGTTGTTTGTCTTATTTCCTGGACAACTGGAATCAGGAAGTTCTTATGTGAGACTTCTCCAGAAGTGTACTTTCTACTCTTTTTCCTATAAAATATTGCAGAGTTTGACGTCCAAACTTGAAGATCAACTTAAACAAACTGAAATATCAATTTTCATTCTTCTATATGAAGATATATTTTTTCCAATAATATTGTAAAAGATCATTTGTAATCACCACTTTTCTTTGAAAACTTTCCCTTGCCTTGATCTCTTAAAATATGCTTCTGTCATAATTATTTCTTTTGCAATGCTGTGCTTTCCCATATTAAGTTTCATTTATTGTGAAAACTTTTGTTTTCTCCTTACTTAGGTTGACAACAATTTTCAAGACATCAGCAAATGTTTAGTAAGTAATCAGCCCTTTGCCCCACTGAGAGAAGTTGGCTTTAGGCAATAAGCTGTGGTTCACACCAAAACCAGGTTAAAAACATCGAATCACTGATCCACTTTGTCCAGGAAATGTTGAGAGAAAAGCCCAGAGCCCCATCACCCTGAAACCATTAAATTAGACCTCAAGATGGAGAGACCTATGAGATCACTTGGAGTGAGTCTGTTATGAGTGGCTACGATGAGAGCTGGTAACAGGAGGCTATTCTTAATTGGTGTCTGTGGAAAGCACTGGAGTATAGGTCTGGAGGGAGAGTCAATGGGTCACTGTGGAAGTCCATCTTTTGCTGCTTTCCTTTACAAATACCTGGTTCTGTTATACTATATTCCATTTCCCTATAAGTTCCATATAGCACTTAATATTGTTTTAGCAGTATTAGAGCTATTTGCTAAACTGAACTGTATTTGATAGTCCAAATACAGTTTAACCAGATTTTGACCATATTTTTATTTGTTTTAATGACTTTAAACAAAGTTATGAACATGTTAATAATCCAAATTTCTATCTTTTTGCTTTAAATCATTACGGGTAGCAGAGAAGGAAGTGGAGGAGGTAATGGAAGGTAAATCTGGGTCATATAATGAGAGCTTATTATGTTATTTTCCCTACTTATTATATATCATTCTCCATAATAAAAAAACTTTTATGCCAGAAAACAAAGTTCAAAAGGAATGAAATCTGTTTGTTAAAGGATGGGAAGCAAAGCAGCACACTCAGTAAGGTTTTGTACAAACTAAATCATGCATGTTTATCTAATTTATCTCATTTAATGTATTGCTATAATAAGCCCAGTACATTAGTAAACTATGAACAATACACATCTAGAATTCAGGAAAAGTTTACTTCAACTTTTACCAATTTTAGAAAAGAAAGACTGTACTAATATCAAGTAGTCATATTAAATATCCGAGACATCCAAGGAAAAGACTATAATTGATTCTAGATTAAACATTAGTGTTTATATAAAAGATTAAGGTAAAACAAAATGCTTCATAAATAAATAAATTATACTTACTTGAAACCCTAGAAGCATAAATTTTCAAATGCTCACAATAACTTGGTTAAATTTTGAGTCTACTCAAAATGTGCTAATGAAAAAGAACTGTGGAGTGAGGGGAAGCATTTCAGGCTGAAGTTATGAAGTGACTGAAATACGTGACTGAAATATGTAGAAAGAGATACCACAATGGTGAAAGGTATCACTGATGTGGGAGTGTCATATCAATCTGTTGATTTCATTGGCTGAGCAATAAAAGAAACTGCTTGGCTGGCCCTGATAGGTTAGAACATAGATGGGAGGAGTAAACAGAATAGAATTCTGGGCGGAAGAGGAAGTGAGGTCAGACTCTGCTCTGCTCCCGGAGAGACACCATGCTCCACTCTCCCAGAATGGACGGAGGCTAGACTCTTCCCAGTAAGCGCACCTTGGGGTGCTTACACGCATTATTAGAAATGGGCTAGTCCAGGTGCGAGAATTAGCCTGTAAGGGCTAGAGTTCATGGGCCAAGCAGTTCTTAAATGAATACAGTTTGTGTGTTGTTATTT